ATTTTACAACGACGAAATGAAATAAAATAAATGGAAAGATGCTGGTTATCGGAAGTCGAACAGATAGAAAAGCGGAGTCACTAGAGCTTTCCTTAAGGTACTATTGCCCACCTCTTGCACTGGATTACATGGATGATCCTCTCCCAAGATAAAACTGCTAACGTGCAGGTCTAGAGCTGTAGAATCGTACAATGACGAACATGAATGAAAGGAGAGTCGCTCGCCAGAAAATTGATAGAGTTGGAACACTTTAGTTTATATAAAGATTAATAATAATAATTATAATCTTATAAGTATTGTTAGTGTTACTATTGTTATTAATATTATTATTACGATTATTTTAGTTATTATATATTATTATCAACGTCGCTTAGGGACCAACCTTAAATCCTAATTTTTTATATTTGTAGTCAAATTTTTATTTGGTTTTATTTTTACATTTTAATACACATAAAAAAGGAATTTTGGGCCAAAGCTTTTATTTTCAAAAAGCTATCATGTATAAAAATTAATGAATAAATTTATAACTCATGCGTAAAAGAAGTTTGAATAAAAGTTGTACTTCTCCATAAAATAGTTTTTTATGATAGAAATTACATATACAGAGGAAGAGACATCGTCATCGGTTATAACCTTGCATAATTGAACCAGTTTGAGAAAGAATGTACTCCGTGATGTGACAAATGTTAATTTTTTTTCGAATTAAATTTAAATATTTCCATTACATTTTTCCTTAAAAAAGTATCTATACAGTGCATCACTCTGGGAATAATTTTACACCCACTTCATCACGCTTTCAAGTGCATAATAGATAGTAGAGAATTGGTTTATCTTCAATAACATGTGCTATTACTTTCTATGAAGGTAATCATACGACAAGTGCCTTTGTGTATTAGCTAATTATACGTATATGATATTATAAACAATGTACTCAAATACTATTTGATTCTTTTTTGTGTATGGTTACGGTTGAATTGGAAAAACATTTCTATGGAAATTACTATGTGCTTCTCTGAGGTCAAATGGTAAGGTTGCCTTGAATGTTTTATCAAGTGTGATTGCAACATTGTTTTTGCCTGGGGAAGGACAACACACTCTAAATTCTCAATTTCTCTAGCACTATCTGACTGCTCAACATGTGCCATCAAATAATGGAGCCCAAAAGTAAAACTAATCTAACAAGCAAATCTAATCGTATGAGATGAAGCATGTATGATGAATAGATTTACTTTTGAGGCATTGGGTCGTAGAATGAGAGATTTAATGAGGTTCTCTAATAAAAAATCCATAAATGAACCATTCAGATGGAAAATATTTGTACTTGGAGGTGATTTTCAACAAATTCTTCCTGGTTTACCCAGAGCTTCGAGAGAGAAAATTGTAGGTGCTACCATGAATTCTTCAAATTTGTGGTTGTATGGTAAAGTTTATATGTTGATGAAGAATGTGAGACTGCTTTCAGCTACATCCTCTTGCTCAGATAGAGACACACAATTTTTTTATGGGATAGTTAAAATTGGAGATGAAAAGCTTAGACAAGCTATTGATAGAACAATTGACGTTGAAATTTTGCGTGAATTCTTGATTCTAGACATGAGTTCTTCCCTCAAGAATATAGTGAACTTCACTTATCCGAACCTATTGGAGAATAAGAAAAGTTATTCTTTTTTTGAGGATAAGGCACTACCAGCACCCATGCTCAAAGTTGTAGAAATAATAAACGAATTTGTCCCATCACTCATTCTCGAAGATGGAATGGTGTACTTTAGTTCATATTCTTTAACCGAGGCAGATTCTAATGTAGGTGTTAATGGCGATTGGATAACAGTTGAGTTTTTGAATGAAATCAAATGATCGGTGATTCCAAACCACAAGTAGTTTTTAAAAAAGGAGTATCAATTACATTATTAAGAAACATTGACCTAAACATCTAGACTGTGTAGTCGTACAAGATTAATTGTTGATGAGCTGCAAAAGAACATTATCAGTGTTATAGTGGTTTCAAAAATCGAGTAGGGAAAAAAGTTTACATACCACGAATGAATTCGGTACCATTACAGGACTACCCCTGAAGTTCCAAAGCAGACAATTTCCAATAACCTTATATTTTGCTATGACTATCAATAAAAGTCAAGGTCAAATACTTTCATTTGTTAGACTATTTTTAACTAAGTCGGTGTTCACTCATGGTCAGCTTTATGTTGGTGTTTCGCGAGTGAAGATAAAGGCGTGATTAAAAATATTGGTCTTAGATGACAATGAAAACCCTTACAACCATACTAAAAATGTTGTATACCCTAAAGTCTTTCAGAAAATTTGGTAATAATTTTTTTATTATGTACACATTCAATTCCTCAAATATTATTTATTACAATTTGGCTTTTTTTTCTATGGTATTAAAAATCATGCGAGAAGTATATTTTCTTTATTCCAGAAAAATATTGCATTAATTTTTTTTTAGAATCGACAAAAAATGTGTTCAGTCCCGTGCGTGGCATGGGTCAAAATACTAGTTTTAATTGTATTTCAATCTGACTTTAAAATTGTAAAATGTGCTCTAGAAGTGCTTTACGAAAAAGTTTGAGAGGGTGTTGGGAAGTAATTTACTTGTGGATAAAGTAATTTCCACAAAAGCTGAAAGCAAAAGTATCTCATAACTACTTTTCCATAACGATGTTCTATGTACAAAATAGTGATGGAGAAAAGCAGAAATTGACATGCCAAGAAGGTGTTTGGGAGTGTGGTAAGTTATGTAAAAGTAGAAGTCATAATTTAGAAGCAAAAATTAAGCATGTATTTTTAGCTTTGCTAGAAAGCACTTCTAGACCTTATTTTAACTTCTAAAGCCATAATTTATGTTTTAGTAAAGTAGAAGCTACGTAGTATAAGTTATTTTCAAATGTAATCCCAAACACCCTCCAAATAGAGTAAAACCACTTTCACTCAAAACAGAAACTAAATTCTTAAAAGAAGTGCAGTGCCAAACACCCTGTGAAATAACTATTTTCTACTTCTGAAATAGCACAACTGCTTTTTCAAGACTCACCAGATTCACAAACACCCTTCAAATGTGGTAAAGATATAAAAGTCATTATACACCCTTCTTTGGAAGTGAAAAGATAGTTTTAAGAGTTTGAAAAAAAATTAAGACATGGAAAGTACTAGAGCCCGCTCCATTTAACTTATTTTTTTCTTATTTTTTCTTATTCTTATTAAAATTAGATTAGATTAGATAAGATTGAATCAGATCAGATCCAATCAGATCAGACTATATCAAATTAGATCCCATCAAGAATTATTATTATTATTATTATTATTTTATTATTATTATTATTATTATTATTATTTTATTATTATTATTATTATTATTATTTTATTATTATTATTATTATTATTATTATTATTATTATTATTTTATTATTATTATTATTATTATTATTATTAAAAATGAAAAAGAATAAACTTTGGAAACAAGTTAAATAGAAAACTGAGAAAATAATCCTTAATTATTAGACGTTGGAAAAATTATCTTTAAAATACATTGACAATGTCAATCTAATTCTGCTTTTAAAATACATTTTTATTGTTACATTTAATGTGAGTTTCAAAAGTTTTGATTAATACAAATACTATCTCTTCTATGTATTGATTATTTAAATTTAATTACTTTTTAATTTATATATAAATTAAATATTTATTCTAATGTATATATGAAGTAATTATTAAAATATTAAATTAGTATTATAATTTCACAAAAAAATTATCATAAAATAAAAAATATTATTAGTTTTTAATATGAATGATTATTCTAATATATGAATTAACTAGTTTTATTTAATTAAAAAATAATCATAAAACAAAAAAAATAAAAATTATATTATAATACTCCCTCTGTCCACCATAGATCTTCCCAATAGCCCTTTTTCTTTGTCCACAATAGATCTTCTCATTTCATTTTTTAACAAGTAAAATATCACAACTACCCCCACTTACTTTATTTATTACACCTCACCCACCTCATTTAATACACTCCACCAATTTTTCATTAAGGGTATTATGGTAAACTTTCACCTTTTTTCAACTCTCCTTAAAAACCACCAAAAATCAAAATGAGAACATCTTAGGCGGACGGAGGGAGTATGAATTATCATTACAATTCTCAAATGTTATTATAAAGTCAAATCAAATTATTGATTTGAATTTTAAATCAAATCATAATTAATCAGATCAAAGACCAGATCAGATCCAATCAGATCAGATCAGATCCAATCAAATCAGATTAGAACTACAAAAAATCAGATCAGATCAGAAAAAATAAGTTGAACAAAACGAAACCTAAATCGTAAGCAATATTTAGTCTTAAAAAGTGTCCTAACTAATCAACTTTTTATGGGTAATAAAATTCAACCTCTTCTCCACGCATCCATTATACGTTATTCAAATTATGCCTATCCCAAAAACATTTATTTCGTCGCACAAAATATTTTTCAATTTTAACTCTCGAGAGTAAAAATTTGACTAAAGAAAAAAAAATGAAATGAGCAACCGGACCTTGTAGTCTAATGACACCCCTATAACTTTCCGAAATTAGAGGTCACATTTTCGATTCCTTGGGCAGGCAATAACTCTACGAGTTTCAATAGGTTGAAAATGTATAAACAGATACTATATTCTTATAGAATTATTAGTGTTCGAAAATTAAGAAATGAAATAATAGGATTTGGAAAATATCATAATAATGGGGAGGGCGTAGAAACTAGAAAGAAGTTGGGGTAAATATTAAGTAGATTAGATTTTTAAAAACAAAAGTATTTGTCTACTTAGGCCAAAGTGAAAAGTTTTTTAGACAAGTAAAAAGTGAAAGAGAAGTTTTTTTAGACGGATGGAGTAATGCACAATCATTGGAAATTTAAGGTTAAGCCCTGAAACAGTAAGAAAAAAGAAATCTCATCATACCTAATAGAGTTATATCACAAAACAATCAGACCATCGTAGCATCAACATCTCATGCAAATTTATGGTTACCATGTTCATGAAGAATTGATTGAAAACACTTGGCAATTCATCCAAGTCTATGTGGTTTTTTTGGCTATGTAGGTTTTATGCTGCTTCATAGTTGAGGCTCAGATCATTTGAAATGGACAGCTAAGACCAATACTATTAAGCAGCTGCAAAATTAGAGTGAATCTGAACGCAGGCCGTAAGAAATCTGATAGCTATTATGAGGATGATTTTATAAGAGTTAAGCACATTTTTCTGCTCTTTGTTTTATAAAGGATGATTTGAAGTCTCTCAGTAGGTGATGCATAACAGGGAATTCTCTCCCAGTATCATTATTGTTAAGACATCTCTTTTCTCATCACTTTTGAAAATCTCTCTTTCGTTCATATGATCATAGAACCGTGAATGACACAGCAGCGGATCGAAGTTTGATGCCATCATCGTTCCATCTATCCTCTGGGGCTGTTGCTCCGACAATGAATGCCTGTTACAGCAGCAGTGTGAGAACAATTTGATTAGTCAATAAAGAAATCAACAAACTCTCCTCCAAAAATTTGAAATGTCACTAAGACTGCTAACTTCAGAGAGGCATGTATCATGGCCTTCTGCAGCTCCAAGGTAAGGGGGAAAAAACATCAAGGTCACGGACAAGGAGGGATGTCAACAATACCTTTCCGCCATTAACGGCTGCTACAAGTGCAATGTGCCTTTCATCTTGTCCATACTCATAGAAATAATAGGTCCTGCAGCAGTAGGGAAACACCCAATAAATCACTTTCATGACGTAAATCCAATACAAATATAATGATTGCATTGACAAAGTGCAAGAGTGGAAGTGTGTTATATCCATGTTGCACGGATTCTTAAATGTCGCTTTCCTTCCTTGAAACGTCCAAATCCTTTGTAAGATTTGGGTACTTGGAGACGTGCACCACCCAAATCTTTTGTAAACTTTGAAAAAAAAGGCGTTTCTCTGTTCCGGACACCGTCCCCATCTCCGTACAACTTGTATAAACCTATAGCCATACAATATGCAAGTGCCTTGCTTTATTGAAATAAAGCAGGGAAGTATGATCTAGAATCAAGGTCTTGGTCGTTAACTACATACTTGCCATACTAATTGGCTTTTGTCATAGGTTCACCTTTTAGAAATTCTCAAACACTTTCACGTTCACAAATTACTCATCATATAGCAGCAACATTCTGCATGAGGTTTATTTATTATACACTCACCTATAACCTTCATCTTCCCTTATTTTGATTGAGTGGGCAGAATAGAGAGTAGCTCCACCTATCATTAATGCACCAAACGAAAAAGAGAAACAATCAACTCTGTGCAAGCCATATGGATAGTGTGTATATGTATGTATGCACTCTTTCTGTTTCCAAATCCAAATTGTGGAGGGAATTACGAGGTATAGTGAAGTGTTTCTAATTCAATTCTTTAAAAAATTGGAACAAAAATATATAAAAAACAATAAAACTTGCATACTTAAAAACGTCAAAAGTTCTAGAAGACAATAAATGACATGACAATTATTTTATCAAAGCCTCGATAAAAACACAACAAAAGTTATAGTAACCCTGGAATGGTAACTGTAACTTTTATTTGGGGACGGATGGAGGGTGTACGTGTGTGTGTGTACTCTTTTTTTCCTATCGGTGTAACTATGACAGAAGAAGCATCATTGGACAAATCCATAGCCATCAAAATACTTCTTGCTTTTTGGATGTCCTAGAAAAACTCATTTCTAAGAATTCGTGAAAGTCAAACAAGAAAATAATTTATGGGAAGATTGTGTGTGTGTGTGTATTTGTGTGTGCAAATACCTGGAACAAATATCTTAGCTACCTGCTTCAATGAACCTAAGTCACCTATGTCTTGGGCCTGTTTGAAGATGGAGTAGCAAAAATGGTCAAAATTAGACTATCCCTGCACTGCTACAATCAAGTGCAAACTCTATAACCCTAAAACAAAAATCCCAAAGATACATTTTTCTTAGTAATTTGAGTAATGCTATTGTAGTGAGTCTGTGAGTTATATAGTTCACTCCCAAGCTCTAAAAGATAAACCCCAAAAATACTTTTTTTTGTAAATCGAGTAGTGCTAGACTGCTGAGTTAAAGTTCACTCCTAAGCTCTAAAGAAAAAGGCCTAGGATATTTTTTTCCTGGTAAATTGAGTAAATCTAGACTACTTACTTAGAGTTCACATGCTTCTAAACATGATAAAGTATGTGTTTCGCCGCTTATGAGGTGAAGTCCAAGTTATAGCTTTGTCTAGGAGCAAAAGCTATAGCTTTTGCATGCTTCTTAGGAAATTGTTGGTCAACATCCAGTCAATTTCTTTAATTGACTCCTTCCTTTTCAATCTATCAGATGGACTCCATCCACTCCTTCTCTCTAATCGACGCCTTCCCTCTATTTTTTTTTATTTCCTCTAAATCTAATCGACTCCTTCCAGGAGGGATAACTGATAACCGCACACATAGTTTCCACCCTATGAAGTAGATCTTTGCCCTCTTTCACTCCCACCCTAGTAGATAGCTTGGGTTTGGAGATTCAATTATTTCTTGCCTCCAATCAAAGTTCATTCCACGTCGTAGGTAGGTTTTCCGATCAGCCCCATTGAAGTAGCAAGAAAACTCCAGCGACTCCATGAACAATGGTGAAGCAGTGTAGTGGAAGAGGTGCTTAAGGGCAAAAGAGGAAAGTCAAGAACTTTTAAATCTTACATTAAAAGTCGTGCCAAGTCAATAATGGAAGAATGATACAAGATGGAGGGATTAAGTAATTATTTAGGAGACAAGTAGTAATTTCCAATTACATGTTGTATGTGTATTATCATTACTCATTAGATGGTTAACACATGTAGTAATTTCCAATTACGTGTTGTAATTATGTGAAGTACAATAGAGCACTTACAAAACATCAAAAAATGTGAGACGTGACTAATCTCATATCACTGGCTAATATATAAATGATTGAAGAGAGTGGTTGGTTTGGTGATGAATGTTTAGAAGAGGCAATTAGTTGAATATGTGTGGGTGGTGTTTGTAGAGCATCTGAAGCTGAAGAGCAGTGTTCCAAGTACTTCAACATAAAGAGGGGTCCAAGTACTTCAACACAAACAACACACCCATCAAGATCTACCAACACTCAATGTCTTATTGATGAGAAGAGTGTGAACCCATTGGTGTTTGCAACACAATGAATGATGGTGATTTGAATTTGAGTGAGGAAGATTATGTTTATCGATCTATCCTACAATATTTTAGAATGTGTAATAGCTTTTAAGAGTTGTTCCCTTGTCATGTAGTGGCAGCATATTGTTTTCTCTTGACACTTATGTAGTGTTTCAGACTTTAGAATATGCAACACATAATATCTACTGCAATATAACTATATATCTTATATATACTGTGTGTCTGTGTGTATGTCTTCAAAACTATGATGTTAGCATATAGCACTTTCTTTGCTGCCTATCCACATTCCACAGCCTCACAAGTCTTTCCTTCCTGCGTAGCCTCTCCCTCACCATCCTCTTTTCTGAATGGCTCTCTTGGAAGTTTGGGGTTTGCTGTGCATTATCTTTTTTTTACTTATATATGTTTTTTTTCACATTGTTTTCCCTTACCACTAGTCCACTACAACGAATCACAATTTACAAGATAAGTTGAATCCAGCAACCCACAACCCAAATATACTGAAAGTAGGCATAGAAGTGAAGTCTGGCAAGAAGATTGACAACAATGACATCAATACATAAAGATTCCCAAATAGAACCTTGAAAGAAGTCCTCGCTTTCCATTTTCAATTCCCAGTTTCAAACCACAAATCAAACAACAAGAAAAAACACCATAACATATATTATTCTTAGATTAATGAAAACAGTCTCAGCATGAAGATTAATGCGGAATGAGTTAGGCAAAGCAATTTAATTTCACAAACCTCCAAGAAGGTAATCTTGAGTTGATTAGCTGGGCGAATCACAACGCTAACAACTTCAGATCTATCCTTAAAGAACACATGCAAGTATTTTTAGATGAAACAATAATTGAGGAGGGACAACTAATGAGGAGCAAGAATTCTCAAAACATAAAATGGAAAACTTTTATTCCCTGAAAGGGATTCGTGAAAGGCATTGTCTACGTAAGATAGGTTCCAAATAATTAGAACCAGCAAAATAGCACTGAAGAACAGCATAAAATGCCTGCTCATCAATTTTCAATGAAATAATAGTGTGCTGCAGATACCAAAAGACATCAAGCGTTAGCTTCTAGAAAGAAAACATTTGTAGTTTCAATATAAGAGACATAAAAAAAGGTTGGTTGAGCAAGAGAAGAGAGATCAAGATAAGTATACTACCCATCAGGAGATGCATAACGTGCAGCAAAAGTCTTTGGTTTTGCTTTATCACCGTACAGCAGCAACCCAGCATTGACTTTCTAAAAACCAATCATTAGATTAAGATGGCCCACAAACTGTATCCAAAACTACTCCGGAGTATTTTCTTGTGAATGCAACATAACAAGCTCAAAAGAAGACCTCAATGGATATGATGTGATGCATGCAAGTGTGAAACATTGGTTCAAACCGCCAACTACCAAATGTACATGATCATATGGAATGTACACGAATGCTCCCCTTATCCCTATGTTCTCTATAAGTAGAGAAGGGATGCTTCAATCTATGATACGAGAAAAAAAGGAACAGAATATAATTCTTCTCTTCTCAGTTACCAGTTTATGGTTCCTTGGTGTTTGCTCTTTTTCTTAGCCACGAGATCGAGTAAGATGTTTGAAAATATCCCAAATGTGTGCTTGTGTCACCTACTAATAATATGGAAGACCTTCAACTTCAACAATGTGAGTTGATGAAAGACCTTCAACTTCAACAATATGCAGGGGGGGGGGGGGGTTCTCT